GTAAGCTGTATCTAATGTTCTTTTAGCGCGTCTAAGTAGTGTTGTGGGGAATGCATTAGTGTAGGAAGGGTGGTTTAGTAGGGTCTTGGCAAAAGTAAGCAACTCAGGTGTGTGAGCAACTTGCCTATAAAGTACGTTAATTATAATTTTAGAGCTACTAATATAAGAAGTGTTCTTAAGGGAGTATAAAAGGTTATTACTGTAAACAACATAGGATATTTAATGTGCTTAGAGCTTTAGAGTCTTCTAGATCTAAAGTACCTGTGATTTGTCTTGCTACGGTGTGTGTCTCGCGTCGCAGTGACTGACGTTAGTTGTTTAATATTCTTTACGCCGACTCCAGGAGAGCGGCTTATTCGGCTTCTCAAAGACACCTCAGTCTCCTAGGGTGCACACCGACCAAAGACGGCTTTACATACCATTGTAATCTTCAGTGATCGGTAAGCAACATTACCAGTCCATTAGCCAGCGAGTATAGACTGTGTGGTAGCCGTAACAAGTGAGATTATGCGTCGACGCAACCCTAGTCGGTAGCTGAAACTACAATGCCCGACGCCAATCAAGATCCGTACGGACGATATACTGGTATCAAAACTTATGTAATAACCTTGGCGAAGTGATGTGGTCAGCAGCTTGTGGCTGTGCGTCAGCCTTCTCATAATAGGATAGGATCACCAGAGTCATTGAGAAAACTGCTGACATGTGCATTAGGTTTTCTCCGAGAGATTTCGCAGCGGAGCCCCGCTCCAAGCTTCCTTCCAAAACAGTGGCACGCAGGACAACCCCGCGTACTCAAATACACTCGTTCAATAATCTCTCCACTCGCAACCTTCGTGAAATTGTCCCATATGCCCCCTAACAATACCCACAATGCGACTGCCGACCTCAAACAGGAGACCTCAGTCGCCCGCTTAGACCTCCGCGATGCAACCCCAAAAGATCCTACAGCACCCCAAGAACCACAAACAACTCAGGAATCACAAGCGGCCAAAGAATCTTATGCCGACTACATCAAGAATCTGCCACCGCCATTCTGGGCGACCAAGACACCACAGACGAGAGCAGCGAGCGACGAGACAAGAGCAGCGAGCGACGAGGCGATCGCGGCCAGAATCAACGCTGTATGTGCGCCAGTGACAGCCGAGCAGCGCGAAGAAGATGAGCGTCTAAAAGCTATGTCCTGGCTCGAGCGGTGGCGTGACCGCAAGGCGAGACAAAAGGCTAAAGAGAAGAATAAAGACCCCGATTTAAGACCTGTAGAAAGGGGGAGCCGAGCACAGCTGAATGTCTTTGGTGTTAATATTAGGGAGAAGCAGGGGAAGCGGTAACGTGTCTACACAAGAAATGTGCTGTAAATTACATAGGACATTACACAACTACAGAAGAAAACAACAGCTATAGTATGCTCGTATCTCTGTGCCGCAATTGTGACGAGCATGTTTTACTCTCGATTGCCGACAAAGTCATCAACCGCATAATTTGCACCTACTCCCGCGGTAATTCCCTAGAAATTTTGTTAGGAAGTACTATCTTTCCCGATTCACGTCTGCTGGTATGGCGTCTTTTCTGCTGCAAACTTGTAACAATAAATATTGTAATTACCTTATTAATATCTTTTTCAAAGGAAGTACTGTTGGTCCTGCGTCTTAACTAGCATCGACCTTCGGCCGCGTGCACGATGATGGAGAGTTGACCGAGAAACCTCGCCATAACCTGCAAGAAAGCGAAAGATGAGGGGAACACCTGGAGGGACTCCTTTTGCTAAGATCTAACTTGCCTTGTCTATGTCTATCGAGTTGCTGTTGTGAGTTGTACAGAGGATTGACAGATGTAGCAGGGCTTCCCACTGCGGCACGACAAAGGACACATTGAACAAGGGCGGCAGTAGGGATAAGAGCCACAGTTATTTTTAGAGAGTATGCTATATTGGGTATAGACGTGGCGTGGAATGGATTAGATAATTATTGCAATGTATCGTAAAATGCAACTAAATTGACCGTTTCTAGAAGAGCACCGAGAAACTCTTAGAAAGTGTTTCTCTGGCCGATTATCGCAAGACGTTTAGAATACAATCTTTACTGCTTAAACCTTCTACTCCGACCACCGAACGATGAATCAACGCTTTGCAGACCTTGGAATAGAGGGTAAAGAAGCAGACTAGGTTCTAGAAGCCGTTACAAGGTCATCGATATCTTAAGCAACAGCGGGAGATTCATGGCTATAATGCAGGGATATAAAAAATATATGCTATTCGATCGGTCAAGATTGGTGACTGATTAGTCTTAAAAGATACCTAAAGTGCTGCAAAAGAGCGACTTTGAGGTAGTAGGGCGTGACAAAGAGGTCACAATTGTACGCAGGGCGTCAAAGGAGCTCTCCCTAGTATAGGTTTGAAAACAGCTCGATTGACTAGCAAGCGATTGCCGGGCTCATAACTGTGAAGCTAGGAGGAGCACCTGAGGCATGAGGAACTGGATTGATTGCTAATGGAGGGCAACTACGGGTTTATATAGTACTAGATGAACCCATTATGTGACTTAAGGCCACCAATAGCTCTTGGCTGCAGCAGGTGGCGTGGCTGGGCAGCAGTAGGTCAAAGGAGTGTAGGTGGCAGGAACAATAGAGAGCTAGAGCATGGAGAGCTCCGTAACTGCAAACACTAAAACTCTACCATCCACTGTCGAGCATTGTAGCGGCATAGTTACCAGATAATTTTGGAGAGATAGTGGTTCCTGAAATGTGGAGGGTTGTCGGGAGAGAAGGGTGGATAAGGCCATGATACCAAGGAATTCTGAGATTGTCGTGTTGAAATTGGTGTGGTGTGACGGTGATCGGGGTTTTTATTATTAACAATTGATTCAGACACAAATGCTAGGTGATCGATGGAACTCGTTATCGTTTGCCTAACTGGGAAAGTTCACTTCCGAGCTTGCAGGCCCGATCAAAAAGTCGTAGCGAAACCACCCCCTCCATGTCAACGAGCAAAAAAGCGGTTTCGGACAAATCCTCAGGCGGGCCCTTGAAACTCATTGATATCCGAATATCCATAAACCGTGGCTGTTGCTCTAGTACGAGGGTCTTCTTGACAGGATCCTAGGGCTCTTTCATGACGCCTGACTTGAGGATATCCCTAGGGCTATGCTGCTGTATTCATTTCAGAGGTATTTGTTAAGTTTTATGAGCAAGTCTACCAGATATGTAGCAAGGACATATAAGAAAGACGAAACCATATATCTTGGTGACTGTCATCTAGATGCTTCTGGTGTCGTAGGTATCCTATGTCTTGACACTCAAACATCCATGGCAGCATGAATTTCTCTCCCCAATAAAACTTCATCATGACGTAATTGGCAGAGAGGGGGTTGTCGGGTTGCATGCCTTCTAGGATCGTATCTTTGATGTGAGTGAAAGTCATTTGCAACATCTTCCAATCTGCTCCAGCTTGAGAATTGCCCTCGATAACGTCGACTTGGACCTCGTCAGCGATTTTGCTAGCACCTAGTTCATATAAGCAGCCGCGGAAACTAGAACATCGTGGTGTAGTTCGCATTAGCGTGAAGACCATAACCATCGATGACCCACTTGCGAACCATCCCGAATCCCATCAATTTCTTCGAATCGAGAGCAGAACCAGAAGTACACAGCGATAGTGACCAGAAAGATTGGGACCAAGTATTGATTCGCCTGGACATGCCGAATCCAGGTCTTAGGGAACGTGGGGACGAACCCGCACAGAATTTTGCATTCCATGCTGAGATGTTGGAGGGTGACAACGCGAAATGGGAAAGTGGACAGGAGATCGGGAAACCGTCGATGTTTGGAGGGGTCTATAGAGTTGAGGCTTTCATCAGCGTTGGCCAGGCTCTTCGACATACTCTCTCGCCTGTCCACCTTTATAGAGGGCAAGTTAAGTAATTATCGACCGTTCACGCTTGGCTGGTGTATTAAGCCCGACCGGACTCTCCACCTCCAAACACCCACAGAGGTCATCAGCCTCTCCCTGTTCTCACAAGCCTATTGACTGGCAGTAATTGATGACCACTTCAACAGGGAGTGTCGTGACTGCGACTCCTGCCCCAAAGGTTTCCGGCTCAAGAATTTGCTTGTGGGAGAGAGACGGCGCGCCTTCTGCATTGGTGACAAGCTTTCATCCCATATGCTCAGGGTATGTCTCTGGTAGGCACCTCTCCTCTTCACACTGAGAAGCTGAAGTCTATTGGTAGGTACAACGGTATGTACGAATTCCGCGGGTCCATATATTCCTGACTTAAGAGCAGGAGTGACGTCGTCGATGCAGCTTGTGCTCTAGGGTCTCCTATGGCCTGCACTAGTTGCAACATCTTGGCGGCAGTGCGGATGGTTGGAAAGTATGCAATTTTCTTAGATGTTGGTTTGATAGAGGAGAAGAGGGTCTATCTTTGAGAGCCAGGAATTAGGCAATCAAAGTAACCTTGGGAGGCTAGAATTACGGAAGCGTGTGGTTGCCGGGATGCATACATTGCAGTTGCCTACGTTCGAGGGTTGCCCTCCCCTGTCACCCATAGAGACGGTGTCAATGCAACCCCTAGACCTTCACCTAATCTGTTACCACCTCGCCGCCGGGGCCCTCTCGAATGTGGTCAGTGAGATGGACCTCATGTGTGCTATTGCGCAACTGGTCGGCGCAGTGGTCCAACGCATGCGAGAACGCAGCACGCCAAAAGCAGGGTTAGCGGGAGTGTCTTTAATGTGGTTAGGGGAAGCGGGGTAAATCTTGCACAGTGGGATGGACGGCGTGGCATAGAGAATATGAGTTCGGATGTAGTTGCCCGTCGGACCGGTCGATTGTCTTGCTGCTGGTGTTAGAATTGTGATGGGAGGAGAGTGTGCGAAGGGTATCAGGTAGGACTTCCAATCGTGTACTTGTATGCTGGGAAGGTGCTGGAGTATATAGCTGAAGGAGTTGGGTGAGTGGTGGGTGGATCAAGACATGCTCGTAGAGAGGTCGAACGGCAGTAAATGAGGAAAATAGATGTTGGAAAGATTACCAGGACGTACGATCTGGACAAGCTTCACCTGCTGTCTACTTTGAATAAGCTAGCCAAGGCGATAAAAGTGAGAGGGAAGGCTATGGCAAGGTTGCCTACCATGTAAGAAAGTCAACTACAAGCCCAGAAACACTCAAGAGCAGTGGGGTGGAGATCTGAAGATATCAAGAGTAAAGAGTGAGAGAGGCAGAAAAGGAAGAAAAGGAGTGTGAAGGATATCTTGAAGAGCAAGCTGACTGCGAAGAAAGAGCTGTGGAGAAAATTGCTCCTTCTACCACGCGAGTTCAACCTCAGGACAGGCGATGTAGGGAGAAAAAGCGGTCAGGGAGGGTATGAGGACGACCTCATGTTTCCGATCTCGACTGGCAATGTCCGCCAGGGTACCCGGTTCAACTGAAGTGGCGAGAATCCAGACATTTTTTGTTATCCCGCTCTTTTAATAATGCAACATTATCATACATATTTCCATCCCAGGGTATCAAATGCATTGCCCCTCTCTCAAGCTCACTACCAACCCGAAACCACTATCATCACTTTTTGTCTTTATGTTCATGCTCCCCGCCGCCTTTCTTCTCCCTAATTGACACCACCAACTCCGTCTCCAACCCCCTTATCTCATCTACAATAACATTAGCCCACATCCACAAACCGCGTATATTTCTACCGCACTCACTCACCTTCCAAGTTCTTCTTCGTCTCCAGACTCTCCAATTTCAACCACGACCAATATATCACCTGATATGTGAACAATGCGCCAAGAAAAGTTTTCAGAATTGGGGAGCCGAAGGATTTGTAGAACGTGCCCTGCCAACCATATGTCAGTCGTGTGCCTGCCTTTCCATGGGTGTAAAGTTTGAGGGGAAGTCGGTAGTTCGGGGGGCTGGAGTGAGTTTGAGGGGACAACGTACCGCACGGGAAGGCTGCCGTGGCTCTGTTGGGGAATGGCTTGCTTGTGGTTGTGGATGTTGCGACGAAGAGTGCGGTGGCGTCGAATATGTTCTTCTCGACGTCATTGCCATTGATATCCGTCTCGGGTTCGATAACAGTGGTCGTATACTTGCAGCCATGATGCGCGTCATCCTGCCTTCCTTCTCTGTGTTGTCGTGTCCGTCTTGTCTCAGGCACCAGCAAATCTCCCTGTCTGCCTGCCTTTTCCTCAGTCCACCTGCGCTTCTTGTGAAGTATCCTCAGAAAGCGCTCGCAACTCCTCGAAAAAAGGTGTGACTCCCAATTGTACGTGCAACGTGTCTCCAAACCCAAAGCCCTCTTATAAAAGCAGTCTCTTTCACCAGATTCGAGTTTTCAGATTCTATAAGTTAAGTGAGCAGGGTCACGGCACGGCACCTCCGCTCCGAGGCTCCTCCGCATTGGTTTCTTAGTCCGTGCGCAATTAGCAGCTCTGTTCCGAACACCTTGCATCACTTCAACGTTCCCCAAGAACTCTGGTTCCGGTTCGTTTCCTTCCTTCTCCACACACACGCACTCAGCACGACACCGGGATTTCCATACCGCGCCCTCGCCAGCCACCGAGTGAACCCAATTCGCTTGTTCTCTCGGACGATCACGCAGCGCATACCCGCATTCATTCCATCTATCTAGCCTCCCTCCTAGAGCCAACACACACCCACCCCTACAATGGTACATTCCTCCAATAACTACCCACCTCCCCACCTCCCACCCTCTCCTCCACTCCCTTTACCATGACTCCCCGCTTTCATCCCCCCAAACACCACTCCCAACTCCCTGTCCCTCGATTCTAACCCTCCCCTCCGCCACAGGCACAAACACCCCAACAGCGCGCCGCCAACGCGAAATTCGCCCGCCGCGAAGAAGCCAAGATGGGAAAGCCCGTGAGCACCACGAAGCGCGCTACAGACCAGAAAGCGCCGATTAGTAAAGGTTGGATAGGTACGCCTGAACCGCTTCCCCCTTTATTCCCCGGGGTTTGGAGTTTGGGGGGTTTAAAGTGCGGGGCTAGAAGGCTAATTTGATGAATAGTGGTCCTCGCATTTGTACTTTGTGGTGGCTTGATCTTCGAGCTTCTGCGGCTGTTCTTCTAGACATTCTAAGACATTCTAGAGACATCCATGTCTACACTCGACACTCGATAGCTCTCGGGCCGTTCCGACATCAATCCTACTTCTCGCGTGCGACTCGGCAAATTGGACATGGGATTGTTCGGACTGGCATGGGATGCGATGGATAGACAAGAAATGAGATGAGGAGATGTGTGAGATACTTTGCGGTCCTGGCGATGGAGCATGTATGGGTCGATATATAGTAGAAGGCCAGGGAGATATTTTGTATGTTTAGTATCACATCATATCTGCATGTGCTAGGAAAAGGACCGGCGTTCATGGCGGGTGGGTTTCATGGGATACCAGACACACTCAATGTAAAGCTGCTTTTCTTCATCCATTGGATCCGTCGACAGTGACGTTCGTATTTTCGCTGGGGACAGTATCGTTAATATCTTTGTCTATCAGGGGAATCATTACAGATAATACTTTCGCTTGAGAGTCAGACCTCGGCAGCGATCCAATTCCCCAACCCGAGGCAGCCCCTCGAACATCCATTTTCGTGTTGTTTCGAAAAGGAGCCCGACCTAAATCTCACTCATCCAAAACAACCAGCCTCTTCTTCTTCTTCTTTTTCTTGACCACACCTTCCGCAATCGTATCCTCATCCTTATCCCCCAGACCCCCTTCCACACCACCCCTCTCCCCCTCCCCCTCCCCCTCCCCCTCGCCCTTGACCTTCTTCTTCTTTTTCTTCTTCTTTACTACTGTTCCTTCTCCCCCTTCCCCCTCGCCTCCCCGATTACCCTGTGCATCCCCCATCCCACCTCCATCTTCCATGTCCTCACCACCCACCCTCCTAACAGTCTTCTTCTTTTTCTTCCTCACAACCACCTCCCCCCTCGCCTCCAGCCTCTCGCTCGCCCGCTGCATCTCCAATCTCAATTTCTCCACCTCCATTAATGCTTTCTTTATCTCTGCATCCTCTTGTTGCTTCCTTTCGACTTCCAGCCTCGAAATTTGGCGATGAGAGGTGCTGTCGTCATCGGTGTCGTTGAGAGACAGCAATCCGAGGGCGGAGGAGTCGACTTGGAGGAGGGATTTCTTAGCCTTAGATAAGGGTGGCGGGACGATGTCATCTCTCGAGGTGTCAGTGGCAGAAGTGGCTTGGTCGTCCATCTCTGGACCCAGTGTCTCATCCCCAATAATCTCAACTCTTTTCTTCATCTTCCTCGGACTCCTTGCTCTCCCCATCCCCAACCCCCCTCCCCCTCCAATCCCTCCCTGCATCCCCTCCAGCTCGACCCCTAAATCCATAATCGGAATAGCATCAATATCCAACTCCTCACCCCCCGCTCTCACAATCCTCCCAAGCGGCGTAACAGCTCCACTCCCCTGCCCTTGCCCCAAACCCCCAAGTTTCTCAGCATCGATGTAGAAAGGATCGTCTTTATACCGCTCTCTCCGTTCCTGTTTCCGGCGCGCGATGATATCAGGATCGAGGTATTCTTCTTCTACCGCGGCGTTTTGGTAGCTCGAGTGCGATTGCGATTGTTCCTTAGCAGTTGCGAGGGCATTTGCGCTAGCATCGAGGCGCTCAGCCGCCGTGAGAGTTGCGGTATCATATGACGCTGATGTTGAGCTTGGGGGTTCACTATACGCAGCCCACACCCCATCCCCTTCCTCCTCCTCCCCGTCCCCTTCCCCCCACACCTCCACCTCCGCCTGTGTCAGCAGGCTTGCTAAATGCGGATTTATCGGCGCATCTAGATCCAACCCTTCCGGCACCGGCACCTTCCTCTGTGCACCAGGTGCCACAGGATTCAAGTCCGCACCAATAAAGAGCGCAGGAATCGCTTGCGTTAGCAGCAGCGGAGGGTCTACGAACTCAGAAGAGCTTGAGGATTCGGGGTTGGAGGTAGGTGTGCCAGCCGCAGCTTCGGCAGCCAAACGCAAGAGTTCCAAGAACTCGACCGCACGTTCCTGGACCTCGAGATCCGGATGCATAGATAGTGGGGCTAGGAAGTGGATGATGCGTGACATGAGCAACGTGATTAGTGTTTTGCGTTCTGGGGTCCAAGAAATTTGCTCGTTGCCGCTGAGACTCGCAAATACTTTCGGTATAGCCTGGATATACACGGCAAGTATCCTCGCCGGGAGTTGCACACTCGTTGGATGCAGAAGAGACGTCATGACCACCTCCGGACGCGTGAGAAGGGTAGCGTATTCCCCGACCAGCCAACCCGCGTATTCGAGCACGGATTGTCCGCCGTTGCCGGAGGCGGGGAACATATGGTCTCGGCGGTCGATGGCGATGAGGGATTGTGCAGCTTCGACGGCTTCAGAACGCACGCTTCGCACGCGGATGGCCACGTTTTGGAGTTCGCGACCAATGCCGCGGCCGACGTCGGAGGAGTGGGCATCGTCATCGTTTGAGTCGACTGTAGATGTGGTTTTGGTGGCTGGGGAGACTCGGACGAGCTGGACTAGAACGTCTATGTACCACTCGAAGTCGGTGATGTTAGCGTAGGTATCGCGAGAACATATTTCGAGTGTCCTGCGTATGACACTGACGCGGTAATCTTCGGGAAGAGGCGGTGGCTGGTTCGATGTCTGCTCCGCAGCTCGCAACGATTCTTCCGCATCCGAGTCGTCTGATTCGGCGTATGGAACAACACCAGCAGCTGGTCCCCGATCGTTGGCAGGATCGTCCGACGACGATGCCACAGGCGCATTCCGCAACTGGCGCATGAGTCGCCCAACAATTGCAGTCAGATTATCAGCATTCACCATGTCCACTACTAGATCTAGCGCGCACATGCGTATCGAAATATCCGCATCATCGATGCACTCGAGAATGACATCTTGCTGCTGAGACACGAGATGTGGATGCGATCGCACGATCTTGTCGAAGGCAAGCAGGGCGACATATTTTACTGCAATGGAATAAGAAATTTGAAATAGTCAATGTTACGAAGCTTAGCTTACAGTTCGCATCGCCTTCTATCATCATGCCCCTGAGCTTGCCGACGCATAGTCTGGCCACCTCTTCCCCTTCTGCTGTGTCCTCGACAGCGGCCAGGATACCACCTTGGATGATGCCGTTGATGCACTCGTACAGCAATGACATGGCTGACGTTTCTCGAATAATTCTGGTTAGAGGTGGAAGGAGTTTCTTGATCAGTCGAGGCTCGAGGGGAGTCAAGGTAGCAAACTGCAGCAGTGATCAGCCATGGGCTGCTCCTCCGACATGCCCAAAACTTACAAGCTTGATGAGCTTAATCGCCATCCAATTATTTCCGCCCTCGACTAACAAATCAAAGAGCCTAGGCGCCAACGGCAGAAAGTCCTGCGGCCTCCTCCACCCCAGCTCACAGACCACATTCACGATAGCAGCCGTCACACTGGGGTCCTCGCCATCATCCAGCAACCTCTCTTTAATCTTCGGCCAGGCAGGCCGCAAGGTCTCCGGATACACCAGCGCGAGCCTATACAGCGTCACGACCGTCTTCTTCCGAATCACGGCATGGCTGTGCGTCAGCCTCGGCAGCAAATCACCCAGGATCGAATTTGCCATACTCGGGTTCACAACATGCGGGATGGCACCCAGCGGCAAACTAATAACCGTAGGCGTAGGACTCGTAATATCCTTCTTGAGCTGGTTCTCGGCCAACATCAGCACCTCGGTGTCCCTCCTAAAGCTCTGGACCGCAGCCAAATACCCGGTCCTCTTGTGCCGGTACTTTGGGCTAGACATGACCTCCAGCACATTGAACGAGGCCCAGGACATGTCATGCCCGAACATCTCGAGGTAGGTGAGTTTCATGAGCGCCGTAGATTTGAGGTCCATGTCGTTTGTGCGGATTTCCTGGCGACATTCTTTGATTGACGAGGCGATGTATTCTTTCTCGGTGCCTTTGTGGTTGCGCAGGCCGCGGATGAGGTCGTAGAGGGATTTCTCGAACCTGGAAGTGTTAGAATGAAGCCTTGGGTAGGGGTTGCAGATGAGCTTGGGCTTGGAGGGACATGACTACATTTTGGGGGCAGCTCAGACCGTCTCCCAGAGCTGGTTACGGGGGGGTGTGGGCAGTCGAGGAGGGGCAGGTGGGCGGTATCGCGCAAAGCCAGCGGACGTCATCACCGGACGTGGTATAACATGAAGCGAGCAGGGGGGTGAGAATCGTTCAGCTTCTCTGATATTCTCCCATCCCCCAGGATGCAGTGAAAAGGACGCGGTGAAAAGGACGTGAGGAAGTGAAAGAGATTCGTCGGAGTGGGTGGATGTGAATGTTGGCGTGCTCCAGCAGATGCGGCTGCGGGCCGGAGCAACCACCAAGAGCCGCAGTGCCGCCGAAAGAAGCTTGGACTGCCCTTTAGGGTTGTAATTCGCGCCTCACCAGCACCCGTCCACTCATTGAATCTGCATATACCCCGGCAATCCCCCTCCTCTTCTCCCTCTATCTCAACCTCTCCATATTCACAATGGCGCAGGCAAATCTACTGACCCCGCCGTCCACAATCTCCCCCAGCACCGCCCTGGCCCTCTCGCAAAAGGCCCCCCCAATCCTCTCCTCCACGCCCATATCCTCGCTGCCCTGGCCGCTCTCCCTCCTCTTCTCCCGCGAATCCCCCGAAACATGGACCATCCACGAGAACCTCTTCTTTGCCGCCCTCCGCACCGGCGACGACAAATCCGCACGCCAAATCCTGACCCGCCTCACTACCCGCTTCGGCGACACCAACGAACGCATCATCGCTCTCCGCGGCATCTACGAAGAAGCGCTCGCCAAGAACCCTGGCGAGCTCGAGAAGGTGTTTCAAAGCTATGAGAAGATCCTCAAGGAGGACCCGACGAATTTCAGCATTAGGAAGAGAAGGGTGGCGGTTCTGAAGAGTCTGGGGCGGACGGCGGATGCCGTGACGGCCTTGACGGTGCTGCTTGAGAATAGCCCGACGGATGCGGAGGCGTGGGCTGAGTTGGGCGATTTGTATGCACAGCAGGGGGCGTGGGCGCAGGCGGTCTATTGTTTGGAGGAGGTGTTGCTTGTTACGCCAAACGCGTGGAGTGTGAGTACTGTCCAGCCAACCGAAAACCTTCTTCCATTACATCCAAATAGTTGAAGCTTCACAATCCCGAGGCTGACACACCATCTCTCTAGGCACACGCCCAAATAGCGACCCTCCACTACCTCACCGTCCCCTCAACCCTCACCACCTTATCCCACAGCCTCCGGCACTTCGGCCGCGCCATCGAACTCAACGACTCCTACCTGCGCGGCTTCTACGGCCTCAAACTCGTCACTAAGAAAATCATCCCGCTCCTCTCCTCACCAGAGTCCAAGCGCAACCACAATACCGATGACGACGACAGCCCGCCCCTCAAACTCGAAACCGTCAAGAAGCTCGAAGAACTCGCGACCAGCAAACTCGCTGAGATCGTGCGGCAGTACGCGTCGGGGAAGAAGGGGTGGACGGGGTATGATGAGGCTGAGGTGATTGCGGCGAGGGAGTTGCTGGATCGCGACGGGAAGGTGGAGAGGTAGGGAGATATATAGTGAAAGTTGAGCGTAGAGAGGGGCTTAATGTGAGGTGGAATTGAGCAGGAAGAGCCAATATACCCGTCTTCACCTCCATTCTTGCAAAGACATCGATGTCGACAGTACTACAGTGTGCTCTTACCGAACCTAAGACGCTATTGTACCCTCAGACCCTCGCCCAGCTCCTTCCCACTTCTAGATCTCTAGGTCTACCACTTGGAATTATATCCACTACCCTAAAAATATCAGACCAACCTTCCACCGACCAACATCCCACCCACCAGCCACCCAATCCCATCCAGCTACCAATGCAACCCATTCCGAAGCACAAAAAAGCAACCCGCCCGGCGCTTCCAACGAGGCGTAGTACTGTACGATTGGGCGATTTTGAGGCCTGTACGGGTGAGATTTTGTGTACGTTCGTACGACAGGGAGGAGGAGGGGTAGGTATACGTATTGTAACTGTTACAGCTCACGTGATCTGTACAAGTAGTACAATTTGATTAAAGTACGCTGTACTCTTGTTAAAATAGCTTAGATTATACGTCTCTAGAGATGCATGATTAAGATCTAAAAGCATGGTGCTTACTATCTTGCGCTGTACCTAGTTCTTCTAGAGTTAAATAGCCTTAATTGTTAGGCACTGTACAACTAGCTGCGCTAAAACACTTCATGTACTCGCAACTAGTAGCTAGCAGAGTAAGGAAATCAAAGCCAAAGTTAACCCTACGCTCCCTTAGAAGGTCCTGAACAATACAGTTATAGCTTTCTACCACCTTCGCAGCGCCCCAAGAGCCTTGCTCATGACACTAACAGCAGAGCCAGAGGCAGACTACCCTGCCATACTCTTCTAGGAGCGGTAAATCTGCGGCATAAGCCTGCTGCCCTTCTACTCCTCTAGAATCGCCATACAAACCTCATAGAAGGGTAATACAATCCGTACTACGTACTGTACCTGGGACATCATTAACGTCCGGTGCGGCTCACGAACTCAGCACGTTCGTATTAAACGTGACCATTACGGTTCACTTTATACGGACCGTAGTACGACCCGTTGGAAGCCCTGAACTCGCCTCACCCAAGACAATGCACCAAACCTTCCACACTCTTCCCCTCTTCTTACAGACCTACAAGTCTGTCCTTAAACCCCTATGACAGTTCCTATCTGCATGACAACTCCAAGACGTGTTCCCCCATAGCTACAAGCAGAAGCCGCGTCCCTTGGAAAGCAGTAGCCTAATTTAGGGGGTGGGAAGGGGAGAGAGGGGGGGGAATAAATTATTTTTTTCTCTTTCTTGTGTGGATTTCTTTCTCTACCTTATTAGCTACCCGCGTTGCTCCTTCCCTTGCTGCCCTGCTTTCTTTCCTCTTTGCTGCTGTTTCTAAGCTCGAGCACCAACGCTCTTGCACGCCTGGCACTTGGAAGCACACGCAGACAATAAGATACTGATATATTAATACTTAACTACTTATCATGTGTGCGTTCTTCTCTCTTACTTCCTTACACCTCCCTCTACCCCCCTGCCCCTGTCCTAAACCCAGAAAACGCCCTGTTGCTTTTCTACGTTTCTAAAATCCAAGCCCGAATGGCTAGACATAAGTATCCTCAGCATAGGAGCTACGCACACATTTCAATAGCAGGAAAAGGGGTGTATACAAAGGCTTGAAGAGAATGTATTATAATTACAAATTTTAATTTCTGTTTTCCATCTCTCAAAAGAAGAATCGCCAGCCATTATGCATGCACCAGCCTAAAAACCCGCCCAAAGTCTAGACCCACTCTCCAGCCATAAAAACCCGGTAGAAAACGCCTATTACAATGCCACCATTAAACCACTAGCACTCACGACTGTCCGGATGACTGTCCGGCTACCACCTAACACCTGACCTAGTGAATCATTCCCCCTTCGACCTCTAGCCCCATTCCCATTCCAATGCCCTCCCCCTCACCCTTCTTTCCCCCGGCAAACCTCTCCTTCCTCTTTGCCAACGAATCCCAGTCATCCTCATCCTCATCCTCAGCTCCAGCTTTCTCCTGACCACCTGGTTTCTTCAAAATCCCCTTGACCTTAACCGGTGCACTAGTTGACTCCCGCTGCAGGAATAGCGATGGCTGGTCCGCGATAGCGGAGGGAGTGGAATACTGGTTGATATTGGGATTGTTGTTGCTGGGGGTGACAGTAGCGCCACCAGAAGCCTGGCCCTGCAGTGTCTGGCTGCTTACGCTTGACACGGCATCCAGATGGCCTAAGCTGGGTGTGGAGCTGAGGTACATGCTGTTGGTATTCGCGGCTGTATTGACGGTGCGGTACCTAGCAGACAGACCAATGTTAGAGCGTTCCGACGGAGCTATGGAAGGAGTGTACCCCGTGTTGTTGGCCCCTCCGTGATGCATTGGGGGTGCTTGCATGTACATGGACATATGCTGCATCTGGGACGACGGGATGCCCCCCTGACCCATGCCCCCCATAGACGGCGACGCCTGATGCTGGAACTGATTGGGTCCTCCGGCGGCGATTGGAGTTGGGGTTGAGTAAGGACGAGGTTGGAACTGCGGGCCTCCGGCGGAGCTGGACAAAACCGACATCGGACGCTGGTTGCTTCCACCGGGCGCGAGGAAGCCTTGGGAGAGGTTGGCTTGTTGGTACATGGGATTGGCGCCAGGTGTGGATGGACCTTGACCCGGGGATACGGATTGGGGAGGGAGCATGCCCATTTGCTGCTGCTGCTGCTGCTGCTGCTGCTGCTGCTGCATGTTCATTTGTGCAAGCTGCATTTGCTGCATTTGGATTATGTGCTGCATCTGTATTAGCTCTTGCTGCTGCATTTGTGCAGGGAAGCCCATTTGGTTCATGCCATTCATCATCGGCATCATGGGCTGTCCCATCCCCATCATTCCCCCGCCCATGCCGTTCATGCCATTCATCATCGGCATTTGGGACATTCGTTGCGGGTTGAATGGTTGGTTCATAGCATTCATTTGGGAGCTAAGAGCACCGGTGAACGGTCCTCCCTGTTTAGGTGTCTTGCTGGTTGCCCCTCCGGTGTACTTCGGCTTGGACATGTCACGTAGCTGGATCTGGTCCACCAAAGACGTAAATTGTTGCTGAGGTTGTTCCGGATATCCCATCAACGGCATTGACAGTGGCATTCCAGTTGGCTCGCCATAGATGGATGCTGTCCCTCGGTTGAAGCTCATGGACTCTCGGTTGAAGCCCATAGACTCTCGGTTTGTCGGCCTCACTAGTCCACCTCCAATGACGGACGCATACGGATCATCGGGAAGATTCCGAGCGAATGGAGGCCTATACCCATGAGAAGCGCGATTGCTCACCGCACCAGCCGATGCGGGCCGATCTGGAAGCGTTGGCGTTGACGAGCGAATATATGAGGGAGCCGCATTTGGTGGGGGCACTGGGGGTTTGCTGCGACTGGGGAAACCATGCGCTTGGAGGATAGCGAGTGGGACGTCTTCGTCCTCCCACTCACCCGCTTGAAGCGAGGTCTCGGACGGAAAGCCCATGGACGGGGTTCCAGCACGGCTAGCCGGTCTATTTGGGTCGGAAGGCACTGCCGTGGAACGTCGCAAGTGCTCACGGGCCATCTGCATCTGCTGTCGCTTCCGCCGAGCTAGCTCCTCTTGCTCCCTCTTCTGAATGGCCTCCTCTTCATCATCGTAGTCCTCACTATCTGAGCTGTCCTCAACCGGCTGTGCCATCTGGGTTTCCTGCTGTGCTCGAAACTCAGCCTGGGTTAAGACCCGCCGCCCTGGCTCGCCCGGTGGTGGTGGAGGTGGTGGAGGGACGTTCTCTTTGTGCACCGGAGCGGCCGGCTTCGTCACCAGGGCATCCTTGACCGTGGATGGTGTGAACAGGTTGTCGTCCTCATCTTCGGACAAGGTAGTAGCTGCTGGACGGAGGGCCGCCTTTGGGGTGGTGTTGTTGGAGGTGGAGCGGGATGAGAGTGGTGTTTGCAGCGACGTTGCCGATGACGAGATCGAGGTGGAGTGCTGTTCCGGTGAGCTCTCCTGCGCGGCGGACTTCCTCGCCATAAACGATCGACGCACTAGATTGGCATCCGCGTCCTCGAACGAACTCGACACCCTAAGGTCTGGGCTCTGAGAGGCGATAGGTGCATACTGTGCATTTTTAGAATACCCCGTGTACTGCGTGTACTTGTGCGGCGGGACTGGTGGCGGTGAGTTGTCTTCTGTCGGCGAGGACATGAGATTGTCGTCAGAACCTCGACTGTCCCACGACTTTGGTGGCGGGTCGACCTCTAAAGTCGGGTTGATCTTGAGGGGCTCCGCCTGGAAGGCGCGCTTTCCTGCGAGAAGGGAGCGGCCCGTAGAATTATCATTAGTATGGTCTGGCGAGCTCTTCCTGTCAACGCTGCTGAACATATCATCACCAAAGTCAAGACCCGAACCTAACCCAAAGTCGCCAAAGTCGGCATCCAGCTTCGGCGGCATGGCCGTGCTCGCATAACTGGACGTTGTCATGGCACGAGATCGGCTCGCAGATGTGGAGGAGTCGTTGTAATTTGGGAAGCCGGAGTTAGTGTTGGACTCGGCCGTCTTCGGTTTCGCTGAACCAGGAAGCGCTTTTCTCATGCCACTCATCGAGAAAGTATGTGGCGAGCTGTTGTGCTGGGGGGCATGGGGTCGAGGAGGGAGGTTGGCAAACATGTTATCGTTAGGATCGTTGTCGAGGGACGACGGCAGGGTAGACGTAGAGCCGGAGTGGCCTACATTGTAAGGGCGTGACGCTGAAAATTGGGTCCCACTGCTGGACTTACTATCGCTGTCGCAAAGTTTAGCCAAGACTGCCATGATCGGTTAGCACATGGCATACATACCGTTTGGAGGATGAGGGAGAATCATCATCGAATGACTGGTTCCGTGCTTTGTTACCAGAGGTGCCAAAGCCGCCGAACCTGCCAAACTTCATGTGCTTCTCGACCTTGCGAAGGGCAGCCTCCTGCTTGGCCTTCTCGACTTCCTTCTGGCTCAAGACCCGAAAGCCGCCGCTGGAGCCAGGCGTCTCGGTGGGAGGTGTCGGGTCTTGTGGGGAGGTGGACTCTATGTCTTCGATCGCATTGCCGGACGACTTTCGTCGGCCCATAATGTTGCCCAGGAATGGCTTGCCCATGATGGCGGGAAGGGTGAATGCAAGACTGGAGAGGTTGTCGGAGGGCCCTCGGGCAGGGCCGGGGTCGAGCTACGGAAAGGAGACTAGTAGTTCATGCGTTGAGGTGGAGGGGTGGTGGGGATTGTTGACAAAACGAGTGTCAGGGTGAAGGTGGCTGCGCGTCTGGCTTTGGTCGCGGTCAATGAGGAAGGGTGAGGAAGGAGGGCCGTTCGGGGAGGCGTCTGCCAGTGGGGTCAATTAGCAGCGGCTCGAATGTACATGTCGCGGGCAGCCCTGGCCGACGTAGCGGGAGGAACTGGAAGCGTGGAGGAAGAGAGCGGGGAAGAGGGAGAGTGTGGGTGTGGTGAGGCGGAGCGTTGGAGCACTGGGGGTCGTTGCTGTTCAAGCCACGGAGGGTAGACAGACGTCAGACCTATCTGTTCGTCTGGCGGTGTGCTTGACGCGCCCAGGGCTCTCACAACAGCGACAGCAGCTTCAGAGAGACAATTGCAGCCCCTGAGAAGCTCTGCCGGCCCACGGCATCCCGCCTCGACGACGGCCCTTGGGACTATGTGTCCAGATTTTCTCCGGCGCGGCGGGTTGCCGCGTCCGTAGGGGGGGGTTCAGGGCAGCGACTTACCAGACACAAGAGGCACGCAGCGATGCAGCACAAGCCCAGCGACCGTGGTACTAACGAGAGACTCGAGCGCGGGCGGCGAAGAGGGGTTCGCGAGGATGGCTAGAGTGCTGCCAGAGGATGAGGCGTGGAGAGGGAGGAAGTTGTGGAGCACGGGCAAAAAGTTGATGTTCTCGCGGAATGGGATTAAGGAGTTTGCCGTCCGATGATGTTCGCTGTGAGCTCGCCAACACCCGCGTGCAAAGATCTACCAATGAAGTAATAATATCACGCCTTTGTATGGCCCTCGGCCCGTCGCTTGATAGGGAGTGGTCGCAGCCTGTGATGTCGTGTGTATTCTGGAATTGCACCAGCCTTGAAGTCTGGACGTGCTCGGCGGGCGTTGCTTTTCGCCACGAGCAGCAGCAATAAGATGATAATATAGGAGGCTGCAAAAAGGATCTGACGGTGCCTCTTGACGCATGCATTCGGCGCACCGTAGATCTAGCTCCAGCGCCAGCTCACTGCTGCAAAAACGGCTTGGCTGAGTTAAAGAAAAGTTACCCTCTGAAGGGCCAATGTGGTGGGAGCATCGCCGGAAACGCCACCCTGCTGAGCCATGCCGTCCGGGGACTCCTAAACATAGGCCTTTCCAACCTCTCTCATCGAGGCCTGCTGCCCGCTAACAAGAAGTTGCTGATCGAGGCTTTGTTCTCTCTCAGCGCAACACGGCGCCCACAACGAGACGGCAACGCGTGAGCTCACAGCACCACGAGCACGACTCCGCCTGCGCCTCCCACACACCGCATGTTCACATCCTCTGCTGGCAGGTGTGATTAAGACAGATGAGGGAGCTCGGAGAAGGGCCGACATGAAGACGGCGTGGACGACCATCTCCTTAACAGCGGGCCCCAGCCTTGCATCCTCTCGGGGTTTAGCGGCTCTGTGTCTCCCTAACATCGCGGCCATCGTGCGTGCTTGACTGGCTAGAAACTGACCTAACGCCCGCAATGAACCGTAACTAGGGTCGTTAATGCAGAACGGGCCTGGTAGGGGCACACCGAACCCGCATCCAGACAGGCTGCTCCCGTGAGCGTCCGCTCCAGGGGAATCGCTCAAGCTGGCAGCATTTCGGTAACGACACCAGCCACCGATGCGGACCAGAGCCGCCCCGGCTTCTTTCGATCAATATTTCACTAGCAATCCGCAACCCACACAATCGGCGGCATGCCGCGAGACTGGAGCATACGAACGAAAGTTTTTCCGGAGACTACCACCCGCTCTTCATGCAGTCACCACGACATCGTCAGGCCGCCCTCGAGCAGCCGAGCCATAGATCGCAATCGCCTCCACCCAAACAACCAGTGGCCGCCAACGTACCCGGCACGATTCAGCACAGACCCTCTTACCCGCCACAGACGTCGAGAAACTCCTGGAGGCTGCAGCTTCGAGTGGCGTCAGAGGCTCGCCTCAGCAACCTCGTTGCTGGGGCTGGGAAAAACACACAGCTCTTCGCAAGCGACCAAAGACGACAACTTCGATAATCTCGCCTTCAAGCCACACACTAAGATACGCGAGCAATTGGCCAACGAGGCTCTGAAGAAATCACAAGGCTCGCGAAGGGTTGTCGGCATCCATTCTAGCAGGAAATAAGAACGCGGACGCCGTCTTCGCAGCTCAGGTACATTCGCTTCCTGCTTTGCTTCTTTCGGCTAACGTGTCTTAAAAGGTTTCAAGTGTGATCTCTTTTTTCCTTTCGTCGAATTCGCTCTCTCCGATGCGCTGTCAGGTTGTCGAGTGCCGACTGTTCGCATGCTGCCGTTTCCGGCGTTACTGGCTGGCTCCCCACGATTCCCCTTCATCCAGCCAACGTTCCACAAACATTGCACTGCACCACAACACATGACGCCGTCTTCGTTAGCCCTCTCTCCCCTCAATTTCTACCCCTCTTGTCCCTTTGCTCCAACCTCCTCTTCAAACCTCCTTCTCTTCCAAATCCCGAACGCGTAATCTTCCTCAGCTTTCCGCGTAATCAATCCATCACATGTCTTTTCACGTGCTTCCAACATTCTTCCCAACTCTGGAACCATTACGTCTACACACCTGTCATCCATACTTCTTTCTGTCAGATTTTTGAAACACCATCGTGGGGAACCTCCCCACTAAAGTCACACCTCGCTTCGTCTCGACGCCCGAGCTGCTTCTGCTCAGACCCTGTCTGGCCTAACGAAACTGTACACAAGCTTTCCATTGGTTCTTAAACAAAGCATCTTTGAAGAGTGTCCATCGTGGTGGAGCCTTCGTTCGGAATCCCGAGGGTCGTTGTTTGAGGACTCTACAGTTTGTGAGCTGCAGTGCTACACCACCCGTTGTGGCACTCTGTGCATTGTCGTCGAAAATTTCCCTCGAAGCCTAATACCCAATCAAGGCACCCTTCTATTCATGCATCGACCTCGTTCTTCCTTCGGGTTCGTTCATCTCATCTTAGTTAGTCGCTCTTCGCCGTCGCTTCAACATTCCTCGCACCCCCTGAAATGCTGACTAACTACCTGCTTCTTTCGCGCGAAGTCCCATCCCTTGCCTGTTTTAACGTCAAATTTTTGCAATTCTCATCATTTCCAGACTTTTTGAGATGTCTTTTTCTCTCCATCTGCCTATGCGTGTGCCCTTGCTCGCTTCCGCAATATTAGTTCACTGCCATCTTCTTTTTCCTCCCTCAATCCATCCATCCAAACAATGCGCGCTTCGCTTCTGTCGTCGGCATTGCCAAAGTTGGTTATTCTCGCTACTGTGTGCCTTCTTTCAGTTTCAGGAGTCTGATCTCTTAGTTTTCGCTGTTGCTATTCGCGGTGCTCTTGTCGTTTTCTCAAAGGTGGGCCGCTTCCCGCATCCCAACGCATCGTATTGCATGGTACCCTATGCGTTATCTCCAATATTGCGGCCTACTTAGTATCAAGTGTTGTCAATTTTCCGGCCGTTCCCTAAACTTTCCGAGCCAACTTCTCGCAAAGCATTCACGTGATGAGTCTGAAGCCTTCGTTTCAAAAAGCCTGCCGATGGGCTTTCGCTGCGCTGCGTTGTGTTCTGCATGCTTTCGTTATTTGCTCCAAAGTTCAATCGTGTCTCATCTCTCATTTCGCTGCTCTCGCTTTCCAAGTCAATGCCTATCTTTTCGGCCTCCATATTGCATCTGCTTGTATCTCGAGCTCAACATATCCTTTCTCCATCGGCCCTTCGTCGATGCGATCACCGGTTTGTTCGTTTCCCCGCTTCTTTCTTCCTGCATGCATGAATGGCGTCAGAATCCGACGAGGGGATGAAGTGAGTGCTGACGGTTACCGCCATTCTGATGTTGATCTGCTTTTCTGAGAGCAAGTCAGTCATTCCACACACAACCCATAGCCTATTTGCTTTAGATTTTCGATCGGTTGCAGCTAAGGGAGGGGAACGAAAGAAATCCTTGAGTTTTGAATTAGTCGTGTTGAGTTGAGTGAGAACAGTCAGTAAGCAGACATAAGGCGACTTAGATGAAGGAAGGCTCCGACCATTCCAGGACCATGGACAAATCAGTTCCAAATAGATTGCCGTTAGGCTTGGACACTTACCTGATGAATCGATCGCACGACTTGACATCGATGATCTTGTTGACAAGAAGGAATCTTTCAGCAGAGCTTGCTCGCTGGCTGTCGACTGCGGATCTGGTATTGGTACATATATTTCTCGTTCATGAATTAAGAAGTCGACTGATCTTGGCACCGTTCTGTTCCATGGATTTGAGCGTGTATTCGGACGAGGAGACCTCGACTCTCATCACCGCCTCTGGAAATCTTGCCCGCTCCATGGTTATGTCGATAAGGCCCAGTCAATTCATCCACCAATCCCATCATTCCCTAAGAAATGAAAAGAAAGGAATATGAAGGAAAAGATAATGAAATCCTAGATCTTTTACTCTCCATTCCTTCCCACTCCCATGAAATTTTAGTTCTCGGTCTGTCGACATCCATCAATACCATCTTCACTAATATCTCCCACTCAAGGCACCAACTCCTCGAGCTCTCAATGCCGGTTCCAATCGACCAATTATAGCCAAAGATCCCACCCATCGCGGTGTCGTACAATTCTTTAAGTCATTCGACCCGCCATAATTGGACAGTTGTCTGACGAGATTGCCACGTTTATTGTACCACCCAGTGCAGAAAGATAGAACACCGAGATGAGAGAGAGTCATGAGGGACAATCGTAAGATAGGTGCGTCGGAGGGGCGCTCCGATGGCAGAATCGAGCGTCTTAGCATTAGCGTTATCGTTCCTCTATCTCTCTCTTCTCTCTTCTTTGCTTCGCTCGGCTCGGCTCGAGATATCCAACGGAGGGGTGCGAGTTCTTGCTCCATTTTCATCTCTAGTAA